TATCTTTATCTGCTTGTACAATAATATCTCTCATGACCATTATGAGGCCCTCTCGTTTGTCATCCAGTTCTTCCTTTGTCCATGTGTTGCTTGCTGGTGGGCTGTAGGCATTTAAAATTATCAGCTTATCATCCTGATTCCAGACCTGCAATGCCTATGCTTTTGTGGTCTGCGTGTGGTGTTCCTGCTGAATATGCATGCACGTTTACCCTTCTCCCGTGATGCTGCTGTGCCTGGCATATACTCCAGCCTGTGTACCCCGAAGTTCTCATTACCCCGCAGTCTGTCTGGGGCTGCGTGTGGCATCGTTGCTTGCACCCCATGGGGTACTACGGAGCCCTCTTTGCCATACTTTACCATCAGCTGTGACACCACGCTGGCACTGAAGGTACGTATAGACGGTTTCCTGCTGGACTTCACCAAGGACGTATTGTAGCTGTTGAGCACTGCAACATCCATGAGGTGGAAGAAGAACTTTTTCGTCCACTTCACTGACCTGCGTACGCATGGGGTTGTACATGGGGTTGTGTGTCTGAAAATGGACCTTGCCAGTGTCCAACATGGCACCGGTGTAAATCGTTGTCAGCATATTCACTTCGCGTCTGTCCTTCCACCGCACTGACAGCATATTGTCACATTTGCGCAGCTGGCACTCACCTACACCTATACCTATACCGAACACAGGCATTTCCTTCCTGATGAGCTTCACAGTGCCACATACGCCGGTGTTGTGGGCGAGGAGGTATCTGGTCAACAGGGGGCTGGTGTAATAGTTGTCCGTGAACAGTATATGGCCCTTGTTCAGCAACGGCTCCATCAGGGTTTTTACGACACTGCCGTAGAACCCGTGTTCATCTTGAGCTGGTATGTCGACGTCTGTACCGGAATACAAGATCATGTCCAGGACGATACCAGTCTCACAATCGCACAGCAGAAAAAACTTGAGGCGAGAATGGTGCTACTTGGATTGATGTACTGTTTGAATGCCAGTCTGCCCTTGAACAATACAAGCGACTCGTCGATAACGACATTCTGTCCAGGTACAAAATAATCCCTGAACTTCCCTCTCAGGTCGCTGAATACCTTGCGTACCTTCCACAGTCTGTCCACCCTGTCCTCGTTTGCATTATTTTCGAAATGCAAGCACCTCAGAATCAACAGAAACCTATCCCGCGACATATACCGGTTGAAGATGGGCGATGGAACAAAGCTGTCTTTGTTCCAATAGTCCTGGATGACAGCTTTCTTGGAGTGTTTCATTATCATACATATAGTGAGAAACACGTACATCTCGTCCATTGTCGTGTCCTTCCATCGCGTGAGGTGTGAGGCAGGTAATATGCCGCCGTCTATGAGGGTGTGGGCGTATGTGTTTGTCTCGGTCACAAGATGGTCCATGAAGACATTGTCGAAATATGCCTGGAAATATTCCATGTCCGCCATATCATCACCGGTATATGGAAATAAAGCTGTAACACCAACGTCGGTATCAACAAACGTTGGTATTTGGGGCACAAATGTGGTGCAATCCTCCCACACAAGTACACCAGGGGGTTTGGTGTTGGTGCCAACACCACGGCCAACACCACCACGGGCACCAAGAACACGGCTACGTTGTCTGCTGCTGCTCCTGGAGCTGCGTGAGAGTATGCTTGACGCTGAGGCAGATTTCCGAACCGTAGGCCTACCACGAATACCCAATGTTGAGGGCCCACTGTTGTCATGCTGGGAGACACGCTGCCGCCTGCCTGCACGTGTTGCTGAGGCAGCAAAACCCCGCCTGGTACCACCCCCACTGCTAGTACTGGGGTCGTCCACACTACTCGTATCAGAGCCAATGTCGCTGAACCCCGAGAACGATTCGTCACATGTACTGTCACTGAATAATGAACTAGCATCTGGGGACATACATGATGTGGTGATGATAACGGTGTTGACCCAGGGCGGCGAGACAGGCCGGGCAGAGAGCGTGTACCGTACACGCTCGCCACATCATCCACTTCTGTTTCCCCCTCACTCGTATCAGACCTCTGTGTCAGATCTTTCTCTGGATCATAGTCCAGGTCATCATCCATAGCATCGTCATCGTACAATATATCGCGAATTTCCTCCTCAGAGAGTCGTTTTCCATGACTGCGGGTCGCCGTGGAACGGGAGCTCGTTGACGATGCGTCAGACATGGTTGCTGCTTGGGAACTGGGGCTCCCCACGGCCGCGGGGCATGCTGGGATTTTTTTTCAAGATGGCGGACAATCACTGGGGTCCCCAGCTACCCATTCCATACCCACGTCACCGCGCACCACTTTTAAATTGGACATGAAAAATACAAACACCGGGAGGTGCGTTGCGCACCCGAAGCCCGGGCCTGCAGGTGCGTTGCGTAGTTAAAGGGTTAACGAATTTAATCCATTCTGGCAACGAGCTCGTCACGTGAAACGTTCGTCTTGCGAAACAACAACAACACTGTCGTCGGAGGCATCCGAGAACCAGCGGGAACGCTAGGAAGCACCATGTGGTTTGCTTGTTATTCGAGCGAAAGCTCATCAGTCGAGACAAATTTTCTGCGTATAAAAAAAAACTGTAACTGGTGAATAAGTCTACGGGCAACACAACCAGTACAGTATTTCAAATTAAAGTTGACAATAATTGCATGAGGGAGGATCAGTGCCAATGCAGTGGTAACTCCATATTCGATTTGAATACGTTCCGAATTGAAGAGACAGTTCGAAAACCGAAAATTTGAAAACCAAAACGATTTTTCCCGTAAGAAATAATGTAAATTTAATTGATCCTTTCCACACACCCAAAAATATTAACTTAAAAATACATTATTATGAAGAATACTACTCATATTTTTCATACACAAAACAATCAGGTATAGATATAAACCACAAATAAAATAAGTGAACATTTAACTGCACTTTACCTTTACAGAGGACTGTGTAAAGTTGGTGTATGGGAGACGGTGAGGAGGAAGGAGGGAGGAGCGGTGTTGGTGTATGGGGAGGGTGAGGAGGGGGGGATGGAGGAGGAGGTGAGATGGCCCGCTGCTCACCTTAAACACTTTTGTATCTGCATCACTGGTTTCAGATTTTCCTTTCACACATTTCACTGCCTCTGTTATGTGGCAGGCAGTCAGAACCAGTCAGTTACAGTCACAACATGTCAGTCAAGCATTCACAGTCAAGGTCACTCACAGGCATGCATTCACAGTTGTTGTAGCAACCAGTTAGGCATTTACAGTCAGTCAGCTCTTCACAGTCAATCAGGCTTTTACAACTAGGCATTCACAGTCAATCAGGATTTCACAGTCGCAACCAGTCGGTTAGTAAACAATAAGAATTTAATGTCAGGCGCTCAGGAAGTCTTCCTCCAGATCCATCAGCTGGTAGCAAGGAAGCCCACTGTATTAATGCAATCCCCATGGCTGGGAGGGGCACAGCTGGAGGGTCCAGTGTGGGGAACACGAGGAGATGGAGGTAGCGAGGAGGGTGTTGGATGGGGGGATGGAAGTAGTGGGGAGGGACCGGGGGTGACCAGCTCCTGTGTTAGTCCTAGTTGGAAGCTCGCCCACTCCTGCCACCGCCTGCCTTCCCAACGCTATCCTCCCACCCCACTCTGACCACCTGTACTGCTACTCACCTGTCCACCCTCTGTCTCCTGACTGCCCTGCTACCCATCTGCTCTGTGCCCACCCTGCCACCCACCTCCTTAGTTTACCATCAGCCACCCACCTCCTTAGTCTACCATCAGCCACCCACCACCTTAGTCTACCATCAGCCACCCACCACCCACCACCCTAGTCTACCATCAGCCACCCACCACCTTAGTCTACCATCTGCCACCCACCACCTTAGTCTACACCTGCCACCCACCACCTTAGTCTACCACCTGCCACCCACCACCTTAGTCTACCACCTGCCACCCACCACCTTAGTCTACCACCTGCCACCCACCACCTTAGTCTACCATCAGCCACCCACCTCCTTAGTCTACCACCTGCCACCCGCTAGTTCTGCCGCCCACCCACTATGCCAACCATCACACTACTTGCCACCTGCACACATTGATACCTGCCCGCCTAGCCACCCACTTTGCTGCCCACCCTGCTACTCATTCATCCACTCGCTGTCACCTGCCCACCCACTCGCACTCCATGTGTTCTTCCCTTACATGATTCTAAGGCTGGTGTTTCTGAAAGATTTTCTTTCCCGGTTCCTGCACCCCCCCACCAACCTCCCTGTCCCTCTCATCCGGTCCCCCCACCACCCACTTATCCATCCATCCAGTCTCCCTCCACCATCCATCCATCCAGTCTCCCTCCACCATCCATCCATCCATCCATCCAGTACCCCTCTACCATCCATCCAGTTCCCCCCACCATCCATCCAGTCTCCCTCCACCATCCATCCATCCATCCATCCATCCATCCAGTACCCCTCTACCATCCATCCAGTTCCCCCCACCATCCATCCAGTTCCCCGCCACCATCCATCCAGTTCCCCTCACCATCCATCCATCCATTCAGTCCTCTCACCATCCATCCATCCTGTTGCCCTCCCAAATACTATATTCAAGCTCGATCGTCACTAGGCGGGATAAACTGGTAAACTGAGGGCGCCTCGTCCCGCGCCCCGCCCAGCAGAACAGAACCACATGCTTGTCCCGACCCATTCATGAAAACTGAGGTTCCACTGTATATCTTAGTGTGGCACTGGAACCGACCCCAACTAGTCTATGACACTTTCCCTACCCCACATGCTTCATGTGTGAAAGGTGGGTGAAGCTCCACGTGTCTGGCCTCCAACCTTTGACAGATAAACTGACATTTTCTCTTAGAGATATTTCTGGACTAATTTGATATAAATGGGCATGAATGGTGATTAGATGTACATTACAGTGATAGGGAATGCCTTTGACTGGTATGTTGTTGCCTGGAGGTTAGCACTGGTAGTAGTGTAAGTTGTGGAAAGCATAGCTAGAGACACCACAGTAGTTACCTGTATGTAGTCTTGTAGTTGCATGATGGTATAAGTTGACTCTGCAAAACTAACCAGTTGAGGCAGGAGAGCATCCATGTGTTGTTTAAACTTGTCCATGGCAGCGTGTGGTCCTGCAGCACGGTATGTGTGGAGAGTGCTCCTCATCCAGTGGAGACCTGTGCCTGCGGTGGAGTTAAAAGTCACATCTTGTGGTCCTCTAGTTCAGTGGACTACGTCCTCGACTCACAATCCTGGGTTTGATCCTCTGGCAGGATAGAAATGATTAGGCACATTTTGTTTCACCTGATGTCTCTGTTCACCTAACAGTACTTGGGAGTTAGGAAACTGTTGTGGGTTGCATCCTAGGGAAAGTCAACAGTTCAACATAGGCTTGTATTAAGATTGTCCCTAAGTGCAGTCTTCCTGCCCTTAGAAAACAGGAATTAAATGTATCAGTACTGACATTAAAATTGTTGACACCATTGTTTTTCTGTGGGGAGCCTCGTCAGCTTCCTGAAGCTATCCGAACTGATATAGTGCTTTGTTAGTTTGGGGTCATAAGTCACAAGAGTCCTTTGCCTACCGAAAACCATGAGCCACCACCTGGCCTTTTCAGAGAGGCACAGGGAACAATGGCCTATGACCATTTTACATTTAAAGTATGTCATATCATGCCATCAACCGGGAAAGGCACCCAGAAAGTTAGACGAAACAAAACAAGCAACAATCTGGTGAAAATTGCTACCTATGTCCAGAAAGAGCAAAGAAACTTCCCCTGAGAGAAAGCAAACCAGCCACCCTTAACTCTCAAACCGCGCATATCATATATAAATGATATCAGTGACAAAACCGAAACCGCGCACATCATTTATATATGATTTCGTGTCTAGCGCTATAATTTAAACGCCCCGCCTGGGATAGGGGCAGCTATAGTACAGCCACGACCGATAGTTGCCAGATGCCACCTAGAAAAAAAATCCAGGCCAACATTCTTGGGTGTTACAGCGTCAGTATTGAGCAAGCCACCAAGGCTGGCGCACGCAGCACGAGCTCACAGCACCGCTGTTCAGCTTGTGACCACAGCATCGCCTACAAATACCATAATATAAATGATACTGCTATTATTTAGCAGTGATAGTATTACTGAAGCCCCCTGACTGTGATAAAACTGACCAGGATTCTGATAATAGCAGGATTGTGGTGATATTTAGCACTGTGTTCCATGGAGGGAGGAGTAAGGCTGTGCGAGGGAGGGTTGTGGCGTCGTTTTCAGACTGTGTGTGGCCACCATTTATTGACTGCACTCACCATACTAGCTTAGTGGTTCGATATGGTGAACACAAATGTAGATACTTATATATAACGTGTGTATAGTGTGAGATAACAGCGAGAGGAGTAGGTTGGGATCCACCATTTTGGTAAGGGAGGAGCGTCGTCTGCACGACTTGGCATGTTGTTTACTGATGGCCACTATGGTCTTTGGGCACCATACCAGCTTATTTGTTCAGGTATGGTGAATAAAACAGGTAGATACTTATATATAATGTGTGTATATAGCGTAATAACACCACAAACAATATTGTTGAAGGACAAATATTAGTGCGTCTGGCCTTGAGGGCGGCCACCGATCAGCTGACTGTGTGAGTAGCTACGTCTTATGGCCTTTACTCACCATACAAGCTTAGATGTACAGTTATGGTGAACAAAACATGTAAATACGTATATATAACGTCTGTGTATAGTGAATAAATACATAGAGTATTGTGGGAGGTGAATGAGGGTGAGTGAGGTGGTGTTGAGGGAGGGAGTGGCAGTGAGTGGCTCATTGGTGTTTGGCGGTCACTCCTCGTTGCTTTTTGACTCACAAGACCAACTTAGTAGTTCGTTATGGTGTACAAAACATGCAAATACTTATATATAACCTGTGTATATAGTGTAACAACAGCAAAACTATTTGTTTATTGTTTTATGAACATAATAATTGAATCACTAATATGCACACTATAATTTTGAGTACAGCGATGGTTCACACATTTTATAATATAAATATACCACAATTCACTGTATGGAATAATATTACTGCAAAAAAACTAAGAAAAAATCAGACACATTGAAATAATTAGGTAATAATATATTTGTGGCAACTGCCGCCTGACAGCTCGGCGGAGTAGACCTCGTCTGGTGAAGGCACTGCCAACGCCCCTTTTTTGCCACACTTCCCTACCCTATTGCGGCTAAAATATGCCACCTACGATTTTTTTGTTATTTTTTCCGTGATCAGGGAACAAAAATGAACACTTCTATAAGACGAAAGAATTTTTTTATTTTTATTTTTTTGTTGTGCCTGTGGGTGTGAATTCCATTTGGGCCCCTAGCGGTTTGAGGGTTAATGCGACTAGCACTCTTGTTTGTTAGCACTAACCCCCACCCCATCCACGAAGGGGGGGGGGAGGGAAAGCCGGCTCAGGTAAGCTGGCTCAGGTAAGCCGGCTCAGGTAAGCCGGCTCAGGTAAGCCGGCAGCCCACCACCTCAGTTCTTGAACTGACGTGCTGCTGGCAGTCAGCTCGGTCACCTCTGGCCTCTAGTTTCTGTTTTGGATTTTGCCCTGTGTGGCTGTACCAGCAGTGTGTGTGGTGTGGTGGTCAATGCTTTTCAGCTGGACTGGTTGAGTTGGGGGTTCCTTTACTTCTTTCCCCCGGTCCAGCTAATCCTTTCAGCGGAGGGTGCTTTTCTTGGCTCCATGGTGGCCGGCTCAGCCTTGGTTTCTGGCGCTGCTTGCTCACTGTCCGAACCTGGGCATTTTTACTCTGTTTCGCCTCAGTAGGTTGAACCGATGAGGTACCTCACTGGTTCAACTTACTCCTCTGCGCTACGCATCTGGTTTTTCTGACCCATATGTATCCCCATTTATATTTATCCCCAAGGGAGCCGGTCGGCCGAGCGGACAGCACGCTGGACTTGTGATCCTGTGGTCCTGGGTTCGATCCCAGGCGCCGGCGAGAAACATTGGGCAGAGTTTCTGACACCCTATGCCCCTGTTACCTAGCAGTAAAATAGGTACCTGGGTGTTAGTCAGCTGTCACGGGCTGCTTCCTGGGGGTGGAGGCATATCTTGAGGTTATCTTGAGATGATTTCGGGGCTTTAGTGTCCCCGCGGCCCGGTCCTCGACCAGGCCTCCCCCCCCAGGAAGCAGCCCGGGACAGCTGATTAACACCTGGTCTGGTCGAGGACCGGGCCGCGGGGACACTAAAAAGCCCCGAAATCATTCAAGATAACCTCAAGATATGGGGATCAGGTGGCTTCCTCGATGGTGTCCCACCTGCAGTCTTCTTCTCAGTGACAATCTGAAGTTTTTTTGGGGTCTTTCTGCCATTTCCTTTCTCTCCGTAGGGTTTCGTCGGTATCCGGGGGGTGGGGGGGTTGTCCTTTGTCTCGACATTTCTTGGACAGGCATCTCATGCCGAATGCTGTCGCTTCTTATCGTGTGGTGTTGGCGAAGCCACTTCTGCTTGCGTTTGTTGTGGCTGTCACTTTATATTTACTTGTGGATGTTCCTCAATCTTTCTTGGGCATTTTTTCACCTCTAGTCTGCTCATGCCCCACCTGAGCCTTCTTGGTCTTTAGACTGGGTTCTTTCCATTCTGTCTTCTCCTCAGTTTCTCATGGCCCATTAGGTAAAGCTGTAATCAAGCTGCAGATAATATAACGGATATTACCACAAACTCGGAAGACTTTGAAAGAGAAATTGATAATATGCCTATGCACTCAGCTCCTGGGCCTGACTCATGGAATTCAATATTTATAAAGAAATGTAAAGTACCAGTAGCGAGAGCACTCAGCGTAATATGGAGAAAGAGCCTGGATACAGGGGAGATACCAGCAGCACTTAAATCTGCAGATATAGCTCCGTTGCACAAGGGGGGGAGTAAAGCCTTGGCAAAAAATTATAGGCCAGTTGCACTAACATCACACATAATAAAAGTGTTTGAAAGAGTGATTAGGAATCAAATTTCTAGTTTTATGGAAAACAATGAATTGCACAATCCAGGACAACATGGATTTAGAGCGGGAAGATCCTGTCTGTCACAGTTACTCAACCACTATGACAAAATCACAGAAGCCCTAGAAGAAAAGCAAAATGCAGATGTTGTATACACAGACTTTGCAAAGGCGTTCGACAAATGTGACCATGGGGTGATAGCTCACAAAATGAGGTCAATGGGAATAACTGGAAAAGTAGGACGCTGGATACTCAATTTCCTGTCGAACAGAACACAAAGAGTAACAGTCAATCAGATAAAATCGAGTCCAAGCGATGTTAAAAGCTCTGTACCTCAAGGTACAGTCCTTGCACCGCTACTGTTCCTTATTCTCATATCTGATATAGACAAAAATACACGCCACAGCTTCGTGTCGTCCTTTGCAGATGACACAAAAATCAGCATGAAAATTACCTCTGCTGAAGACATTGAAAAACTACAAGCAGATGTCAACAAAGTTTTCGATTGGGCAGCAGAAAATAACATGATGTTTAACAGTGATAAATTTCAGGTACTCAGGTACGGCAAAAATGAGGATCTGAAACATAATACAGGGTACAAAACACAATCGAATCTTCCCATAGTAGAAAAACAGCATGTCAAGGATTTGGGAATAATGATGTCCGACGATCTAACGTTTAGGGAGCATAACCAAGCAAATATCGCGTCAGCCAGAAAAATGATCGGATGGATTACGAGAACTTTCAAATCCAGGGATCCCATCACAATGGTTGTACTCTTCAAGTCACTTGTGTTGTCCCGTCTCGAGTACTGCTCAGTACTCACTTCCCCCTTCAGAGCAGGAGAGATTGCTGAAATAGAGGGAATACAGAGAACATATACGGCATGCATAGACGAGATAAAACACCTAAATTATTGGGATCGTCTCAAAGCTCTCCAAATGTACTCTCTAGAAAGGAGACGAGAGAGATACCAAATAATATACACATGGAAAATACTGGAGGGTCAGGTCCCAAATCTACACAGTAAAATAACAACGTACTGGAGTGAACGATATGGAAGAAAATGCAAGATTGAACCAGTGAAGAGCAGAGGTGCCATAGGCACAATCAGAGAGCACTGTATAAACATCAGATGTCCGCGGTTGTTCAACGTCCTCCCAGCGACTATAAGAAATAT